GTAATTTGAACGTTATTTAATTTTATTTGATTCTACCTACGTTTAATCCAGCTCTATAGAGGCCAGCCTTGTTTTTCTTATCTTCAGAAAAGGTGAATAGAATGTTTCTTTGGAATACATCCTTTGAATTCAACTCTATTTCTAAATTGAAGTGTTTGAATGGAAGCTCACACCTTTAACCACAATTTTCGTGGTTCTGTTCTTGTAAAATAGCTTCAATGAAAATTGCCCCTCCCTAATTTTCTTCTGCAGCATGGGTTAGGTGCATGTGATTGATAAGTCAAATACCAAGAATGTCAGAAGTTAATGTATGAAACGGCAGCTCTTGTCAAACCTATATAATTGTTTAAGATGATCGAGCTATCTTTATAAATTCGATGGTTGCTCCTTGTTCTTCTGATTGCTTTTATGAGAGTGGAAGACCAAATATAGTTACCATACTAATGATGAAACTGGTAACAGCTTATTACAGTTCAATTTATATCATGCACTTTTGAGATAAGGGGTGTGGTTTCTTCCTTTGCTAGATAGGCTTGTTATGAGCAAGGGATCTTCGCTGCAACCTAGTATACAGTTCTTTTCATCACATTCTTGAATGGCAATTGACTGGAAGCTGCAAGGATTGTTCAGGTTGTTGTTTGTTAAACTATGCCATATTAAGTTAGAATAGAATACATTTGATTGCTGGAAGAATCATGAGAACAAAACATTCCATCCTCATGGTAGGTTGACTTATGTAACAAGAGCCAACTTATGACAAAACTTGTGGACAACATAATGTTAACTTCATACTTTATTCAATGTCACCTTTTGATTTACTAATTCTAGCTCTAACTCTTACTTAAACGCATCCATTATATCGTATATTCTGCACAATTTCTTTCCCCCTCTTCTGATAGCATTTTTATCAACTATTATGACAGCTTCGTTTGTTTTGCACATTGTAATAATTTATAATGTATTTGTTTGACAAATTAGTCTTATTAAATTTCAGGCTGGTGATACTTTGATACCGATATATCATAGTTTTATCAAAGACTTTGACACTAAAATCAATTTTCTCAAGCTTGCTCATTTTGCTGCAATAGTTTCTCGTCTCTGAAGAAGAAGCTGCTCTCGGTTATCTTGAAGGTATCATTGAAAAGCTCCAAGCTACTACAGAGCAGCGGGTAGAAGAGCCTATTGTTTACATTAAGATGCAAATAGCGTTGTTTAAGTTTTCACAATGTGACCAAAGGGAGAGCAAAAAACTTCTAGAAGATGGAAAGAGCACAATTGACAGTATGACAGATATTAATCCACCTGTTTATTCAAGCTATTACTGTGTACCGTCTCAATATCATAAATTTATCCAGGAATTTGCTGAGTTCTACAAAATTGCTCTTCTCTATCTGGCATACACATCGGTGGAGTCTCCCTCAGATTCATTCAAGCTTGTATGTCATCTGACATGTCCTGACTGTTTTAAATTCAATTTCTTAACTCTCGTATACTTAGGTCAATATACTGCTTCTTGACTTGACTTTTGTACAATAGTTTTGGCTGTGATAGGAGATTGGAAGAGTGCGTGATGGTAGTTTCTTGATGCTGTCGCTGCGCATTCGACTACTAATGACTTCATACTTTCTAACTTCTCTTCTTCATTATCATACAATGAACTCTCAACAATCTTAATATAGTTTTTGAAGACTCTCTTTATGTTCATAGCTCAGCTATAAAGATTTTTCCAATCCTCCAGCTAAAATAATTTGGAGTAGCATAAAGAAAAAGCTGATACTTTTTTCATTTCATAAATTTTTTTCCGATTTTTTTCTATACCATACAAATTGATTGACTGTGCTGGCATTATTTTCTTCTTTAAGAGGAGGTGGAACGTGGAAGTAGAGGTCATGATGTTTCTGTTCCTATAGGTTAAATAAATTTGAGAAGTTTAAAAAGAAAGTTTATGCTTTTGCTTTTGATGATTTTTGAACTGACTTTGGTCCGTGTTTTTTAATTTTATTGGGTTTTTTTTTTTTTTGCTTCTTTGAGAAAAGTTCATGGTAGTTTAACTCATCCGTTGTTTGTTTTCTTTTTATTTTTTATATTATTAAGCATAACTTTTTTTTTTTTGGGTGGGGTTGGTTTAGGATTTGGCATTTGATTTGTCCATTTCTTCTCTACTGGGAGATAACATTTACAACTTTGGAGAGCTACTTGCACACCCTATAGCGAGTATTTTCTAAAACTTTTTGTTGTTTTTGTAAAGTTTGGGATATTCTTTTCGTTACTGGATTGCTTAATGACATGTTATATATCTTTTACAGATTAACAGTCGTCTGGGGACAAAGGCGGAATGGCTTTAGTGTATCCTTCAAGCATTCAATTCTGGGGATTTGGTTTGTTATCAACAAGGCCATGGGAGTCCATAGGCAAGTAAGACAATTGCCTAGGGCCCTCGAAAAAAGCCCTGACTACCCATAGCATGCATATATTAAACAGATGTACTTGTACCGTTATGTAATAAATGTCAAGTGAAAAAAGTCAAGCCCCAATTCTTTCCTTTCACGTTCTCAAAATAATGTATAATTATTGGGTTGGTCCGAGCCTGGCCATCAATTATTATTATTATTATTATTATTATTATTATTATTATTATTATTATTATTATTTTCCAATTCTCATTCTGGCATCATTATCTCCAATTCTCTCTCACTTTTCGTCTTCACTTTTCCACTTCCCCCCTTTTCTTGTTTCTATTCTAAAGCCTAAAGAAAGCACCAGTCATCAGACACCTTTTTTGCTACAATCTTCTTTTATATTTTTGGATCCAACCAAAGCATTGGAGCATACACTATTGAGTAGGGGCTTTGTGTTTTCATGTTATATTTTTATAACATGTATATTTTATTCCTGAAGAAAACTGATTGCGATTACTTGCAGTTGAATTTCTGATGCTCGGACAATTCCTTCAAGTGTTATTGTAGACCAAACAAAACTTTCTGTAGAGGATGTGGACCATCTCCTCGGGAAGAGCCTTTCAGTAAGTCTTGTTCAGATCTTGTAGAAAGCATTATGTGCGAGGGGGAGCATTTTTTTTTTTCCTTTTTATACATTTATATTTTGATCATCAGTAATTCATCTGAATTGATACAATTAAACTTCTTTATTTAAATAACCGTGCATAACTTTTTTATGAAATCTTTTAATGGTTATACTAATTATTGATTTAACTGCTTCTTACAAGTTCACTTTCCCCCAAGAAGCTTTAATAGGAGCTACCGAAAATCATAAGATTTTTGATTTGGTTTCGTTTGGCGGATGAGTAAACATTAATATGATGTTTGAACTATATTTTGAACTGTTTTCTTCAAAATTCTTGAACTGTTGAGTTGCAGGGTAGGACTTAATCATATATTGTTTTATGCTCAGAATGATCTTTTGCCATCTGATGGTAGTAGATTTCGTTGCTCAAATTGACTTGATAAATTGTACAGCAGTTTAAAGTTGCTTAAAGGAGCCATTGAAGCTGTGTGTCCATTTAAACATATCCAAAGGGCTTGCCCCTTCATTACTTCTATGTTATATGGATTTTCTTAAAACAAGTATTATTATTCTTTTATTCTAGCTTCAACTAGTTTTTAGAGGTTGGTTTGATAATTTGTTTGAAATTCTTATTATGGTTTTGGAGAAAATTTGTTGTTTTTCTTTACTGAGGAAGTTTTAAACTTAGCGCATACAGGCAGTTGGCAACTTCCATGCATTCCTCGAAGAGAGTAATTGGACATCTTTTTAATGTTGGTTTAATTTCTATAAGTGGGTGTACTTTCCTTTTAATTTTAGCAACATGCTATTGAAGAGGGCATCCATTTGCGTTAGGCGGTTTCTCTACCATTCATTGTTTTCTCTTCTTTTTTAAAAAATAGGCCTCTTTATGTGTGAAGCCTGTTTATCCAAAATGACACTCTGAGAATTTTTTGCAGTTTCATTTGATTGAGGGTATAATTGATCAAGTTGAGGGTACGGTGCATGTTTCTTGGGTGCAGCCAAGAGTTCTGGGGATGCTACAGATCAAATCTTTAAGGGATCGGCTAGACGTTGGCAAGGACGTAAAGCAAGCATGACATCGGCAATCATCGCTACGGAAACACATGATCTGTGGGATCATGATTTTCGATAGAAAAATGTTTTCTGCCCATTGTAACAATTTCTTAAGGGAACAGATCTGAAGCAGCCACGGAAGATGAAGAAACTTCCTTAGTCAGGGAGTACTAGAACCAACTCAAATGTTCTGTTTGGTGTTGTCTGCAGGCTGCTCCTTTTTTTTGGGTAAGAAGAAACTTCATTCACCAAGAAGTAAACAATTACAAACTGAGGGAAAAGACCCAAGAAAGAAAAGACAAAAGACTCCCTTAGGGAACCCTAGAGGGGGGGGCAAATGAAACAAGTTAAAATCACAGGGAATACTATGTGCTAACTTAGTAAGATAGTCAGCATCCCTGTTGTCATTCCTATACAAAAAGTGGATATTAACATTCCAAGATAGTCAGCAGGCTGCTCTTTAATCACTATGTGGAACAGTGGAAGGGCAGCGTCTTGTAGGCTCAAGAATTGTTGGTTCTATGGTTGCAGGTCTAGAGACATTTACGAGTTGAAAATTGTTGGTGCCAAGTGCATTTTACTTGTGCCAAGCATTCGTTGCCTTCTGTCTCTAATGTTCAGTTTAAACCTCCTGTTGGTATATGCTTCTGGATGTCAGTCCTGCTTAGAACTTGAACATGAAATTACAGAACTGCTGGCACCATTTGAAATATATGTGGTAAATTGTTATTTTAGCTGGAAAAGTGGGCCAACCTAGCTGAATCAGGTTGGGCTGAAATTCTCTCACCCCAGCCCCCCAATAATGGGTCGAGTGGCTTGGCCCACTCTCCATCATAATTTACCAATTACTATACTATTTTGTTACTGTGAATTGCCCATGATGTTTGTTTTTATAAATATAGCTCTGCCTTGAAACCTCATGTTTTTATAAGGAGGGGAAGATATCATTAATGGACGAAAATGACAAAGTTTCAGCCATAAGCCAAAGGCAATGGCAAACATAGAATCAGAGCAAAAAAGCAAATCAGCTAATCCCCTCATGCAACAGAACAAGGGGGACCAAAAACTTTAGTCGTCACTGCATGATCTCTTGCCATCGAGCCACCAGAATCCATAGGAAAGAAAACAGGCCAACAATAGCTAGCAAAGAGGTCCTATCCCTTTTAAGGGAGCAACCAAAAAGGTTAAAGAAGAGCCACCATGAGTGAACCGCAAAGCAGTGAACGCAATCATGAATGCTGACGAACCAAGCACAGTAGGAGGAAGAATAAAAAAGGTACTAACCATAAAACCTTGCCCGATGGATCAAGAGGTACTTGTCATGAGCATCACAGATTTGCCACCACCTCAAAGAGTCAATAAGAGCTACCATAAAGATAACCTCTAGTTTCTTAATCCCAAAAATGCCAGTCAGAATAGAGTAGTTGGCTCCAGATCTAACCAATCACGAGCAAAATCACCACTGAACAAGAGGTACCACAAAGAGCGCCGCCTCAAATTTGATTATTTTTGAGCCAATAAACTATAAATCCATCAACAAAACCAAACGAAAATAGGAAACAAGAAGGAAACTACTAACTAGAAATAGAGGACAGACGTCGCATCCTTTGACAGAGGACGGAGAGGGAGATGTCGTGACCAAATATTTGCACAAGACAAGATGCACTCCCATTGCCCTTGAGAGAAACCCTAGAGAGGGAGAGACCTTAAAGCCTCATGTTTAAGTTATTATAATATCATGTTGGTTCTCAATTGTAATTAGTATATTTAAGATACTAGCTTGTCAAAGAAGTTATACAAACATTGATTCCTAGTGCCCTAAATCACATGAACCTAATGCCAATTACATGCTGATAGTGGTGATTAAATATAGGGTTAAAGGATGTTTTTGCTCTTTAATTATTCACTTAAGAGTATCTAATATCTAAACTATCATGTGATGTAATTTTTTATTTAAATTTTAAAAATAATGCATTGAGTAGCTTGCTGTTAAAAAAATTAATTTTAATGGTTATTTGATTGAAAAATTACAAAAAGTGACATAAAAATTACAAAAAAATAACTCATAAAATTGCAAATAAATATCCTATAAAAAATTAATATTAATTAACTTTGTTGTTTGGTGTCTGATTTTTATTTTACCTTTGATTATCTTATAAAATTGCAAGTATCCGGGGCAATGCACAGGATGTCTGAAAGTAATTTTTTAATATAAGTCATATATAATTAATTATTATTAATGTGTGAAATAATAAAGCATAATTTAATAATTTTTAATAATCAAGAAGACGGCCTCAACTTCATATGACAGGGTGTAGAAAGTGAAGTTATGCGGCTTAACCCCTTCTTGAGAGAATTTGTAGAGCAAATTTGCAAAGAAATTTGTATGCCTTGCAAATGTGGTGATGATTATAAATTAAAATAAGACCACATAGATAGAGAATGACCAAAAAAAAAAACTTAAGAGATAATCAATATATAAATCAAAGAAAAAGAATAAGTGAAAGGTATAATAAAGAGAACATCATCACATGGGTTAGTAAAAGGCTTGTGTCATTGATCAAGAAATGAAATCTACATGCATCAAGGCTTCTTCCTACCGTAAGATGCACTTCTTCCTATAATATATAGATATGAAGGCAAATAAATTCTTAGTACCCCTCATCAATCCACTGAAAAAGAGGAGATTTATAAGTAGAATGAATAATATAAAAATTTTAAAATAACAATATATAATAGAGAAAGGCTAGGAAGATCATTGCACATGTATATCCACAATTTCATCAAGAAATTTTAAGTTGTCCTTTACAAATTGATAGTATATGGCTTATATCTCTAACAATGCGCTTGCAGTAAGAAAAATAATTGTAAAATATAATGCATCCCAAATTTTAAAATCTAAAAATAAAGAGAATATGATATTAAATAATAGAGATTCTGGGATATGTACGTTATTCCTATTCAAAATTTTTGCATTTAAATCTAAATTTTATAAATTTAAAATTTAAAATATTTAAATTAATAAGAATTAAGGAGCAGTTATCAGGATGAGAAAATATTTACTAATTAAATAAATTGATTTAAATGTAAATAATTTTAAAATATGATACATATGAAATTCGAAAATAAAGGGGTCATGATATCAGGAGAAAGAGATCATGGGATACGAAAGCTATTCAGAATTCAAAAATTTCACATTTAAATTTAAATTCTATAAATTTAAAATTTAAAATATATAAACTGATAGGAATTAAAGGGTAGTTTTTAGAATGGTAAAATGGTAAAATCTATATACTAATAAGATAAATTGAGGAAGTTATAATACTTGAAATTTTGTAATATTTTTAAATTTTTAAGATTTTCAAATTGAAATTTAAAAATTATAAATTAGTTAAGAAGTTATGGCTGAGATTATGGGAGAGAATATCCCAGAATAAAAGAAATCAATTTTTATCAGTTTTAAAGATAATATTGATATTATTTTTTAAGAAAATATTTTTAGAAGTTAATGGTGATGTAGATACCCCAAAATTGCAGTATTAAAAAAAAAAAAACCATACATGTCAAGCTTAGAAGAGTTATTATTATTCTTCTATCACATATATGTAGATTTAAGAGACTTATTTGATATTAATTTTCTTATAAGGTACTAATATATGATTTTATAGATCATTTTTTGAAATTTTTTAGATATTTTTCTATAATTTTAAAGTCAATAAATGTTCAAAGTTAATTTTTTTATTAATAAGGTGCTCGATACATTATTTTTAAAAATTTAAGGTGAAAATTGCACCATAAGAAACCAAACACTTTCGGATATACGTAAATATAATGGAACAAATTCAACCTTAAATAAATTTGAGAGTTTTTCAAGCAGCAGTAAAGTGAAAAAAATTAAAAAAATTAATATTGAGAAAGCTGTCTTTAAATTTAATTGAGTATGATAATATACTCATATTTAACATGTTCAAATCATCTTCATATATCAGATAATTGTATTTTCCAAAAAAAGAAAGGAAGCCATCAATGCATACAACTTTAAATTTAACTATAAATAGTCTCTTCTCATTTTCCGACACTTTTCCCCCCTGTAAAGAAAACTAGAAAAGCACACCCGATGTCAAAGCGGGCACGGCCCGATTGTGATTGGACTGAATGGGACTGTTCCACGACAAGGATTTTCAAGATTCCAAGGAAACTTGACGTGGGAAGCTATGTTGGTCATTTTCAACCTTCCCCCAGGAAGCGAGCAATAGGTTCATGCCGGACATCACATTCACATGCGCAACTTGGAGCAACCGCACCATCCTCCCAAGCTATTTTTATGCCATTTTCAGTAAATTTTACTGCCGTATTGGTTTGAGGCTATTCAGTTAGAATTTACTGTTTCTAGGAGCTCGACCTCGGAAGCTGATAAACTACAATGCAGTTGTAGTTACGATTGATCTTTCCGTCCCCCCCCCCCCCTCTCTTACTTTTGTTGTTTCAATTTATGAGCATGATAAGGAAGGTCACAAGATGCCAACAAGAACACTTCCTTATTCTCACTCGTTTATTCTGGTTTTTGGCATGGTAAACTGCAGGATTTAAACACACCACTTATCCACCAAAACCATTAACACTTCAAAATGCATTAAGTAAATAATACAGAGAACTAACTATTCCTCAAAGTCCTAACAGAAGGCATTAGGTTTGTCTCATATAGGGTGAGCAGCTAATGTCTGTACTGTAAAATGAATCCTCCGGTGGACCATAGTAACACTCTTCCTTCTGCTCATCCCATTTTAGAACCTCCCTGATAAACTTGAATGCCTCATCGACAGTAACCCGATCCCTTGCCCGGGCTTGCCAGACAAAAAGTTTTCTTCTTGTGAGGGAAGCATAAAGATCCTTGAATTTCATGGCAACATAGAAGTATGCCTGATGGGCTAGAGACTGATCGCTGTCATGAGCACGCACAGGACAGAAATCACTGAACCACTCACAAGCACTAAGACTCACCTTGTTTAGTTTTTCCTCAAAGATGTCATACTTGTTCAGAATCAATACAAATGGGGTGTCTCTAAAACAAGGGTGTTTGACCATCGCCTCAAATAGCTCCCTACTTTGTATCATCTTGTTCTGAAGAAGCGTTCCACTGCCACTGCTGTCTGTGGCAATGCACAATTGATCATACTCACTAAGGGCGACGCAGAACACAACGGCTCGAACATCTTCAAACATTTCAACCCACTTGCAACCTTCATTCATTCCCTTGGCATTCACTCTTATAAGCTGGTACCTGAGACAGCAAAGAAAATTACAAACACAATGGCAGGCAATGATAAAGATCCATTTATTTCCATACTTTGCTGATTATCAGTTGACATACCAATATCTTTTATTGCCCAGTTACATGTTTGTAGATTTTCCAGGGTGTAGTGGTAATGTAGTAAAATGATGTGAGAGGGTGGAGCCAGATTTGTGCATTCACCACCATCAAACTGGTACTAGAATATTTTTTTAGCCACACCAAGTCCAAAAAATAGGAAGAAGGAAAGAAAAATTTCAACCACGATGGAAACTTTTGACTTGGTGTGGAGATCACAATGGAAAGAAAAATTTCAACAAAGAAAAAGATGCTCGAAAAATACGCAGAATACCCACATAACTTACTTTGTTAGAGGTGGGGCCTGAGATTCCAGATTATCTGTACAAGTTTCAGACATTGCGCTTCGATCTTCAAGTGAAAATTCTATGAAAGCCAATCCATTTCCACGGGTAACCCCTTCTGCGTATAATATGTCTCTCTCAGAAGGTTCATATTCATTGCTAGATATCTGAACAGCCTGAAAGAAACAGAGCATAAATTTGTTCAAGACAATTTCAAAGAAGGGGGATGATAACATTGTAATATACTTTCATAAGTCACAAATCTGTAAGGTAAAGCACCACAAGGAAAACAAATGGTTGAAATGCCAAGAAAATAATTATCAAATCTAGTAATGTCATATTATCAGAGAGAATGATGATGACACGATAAAAAGTTCAAATAAAAACTGTAATTTAGTTTTGCACTTCTGGCTTCTGGCATTAACTAGAAGATTAACTAAGCCAAACAACTTTATGTGCAATTGAAAAAAGCGTGATGGTTTCAAAAATTGAGGAATAACCCGGCTTAAGAAGTACTCAGCAACATCTGGAAGGAAATGAAGTTCATCTTTTCTTTTATAGGTTTCTTGTATAGCTGGATCCTTCCACACTTCATCAACTAATGGTGCATACTCCCGTGTGGCTGCAGGAAAGAATGCATCCAAGTCCCCAGTGGCTATGATATCCAGGAGCCAGTCAGAAAAATGCTTCAGCCTTGGGTTGAGGGAATATATGCATTGACTAGTTTCAGCTGTTTCACTGTCCCTACCTGAATAAAGATTGAAATCAGAAAATTCACCAGAAGCATTCAGATGCTATCAAGAACTTGCCTTGCTGTGAAAATTGAACAGAGACTACAATCAGATAGATTAAAAAGAAAATATAGGCATATCAACCATATCAAGTCTGAAGTTTGTAATACATCTTGCCTCATTGGGGGAAATTCAAACTTGGAAAAGCTGCACCAGAGTACCATAAAACCAGGGTCGTGGTCTGCCTCAAGTTCGCTAAGCAGATAATGCATGAACCAACCAAAAAAAAATTGAAGAATATATGCCACTGCATGATATATTACCTGGTTTTATAGTTTGG